CCCCCCAACTTTGTGCCATCTGCAAATGTGCAGATGGTCAATCCCCCCATCTAAATCATCAATAAAGATATTAAAGAGCACTGGGCCCAGCACTGACCCCTGGGGAACACCACTAGTGACCAACTGGATGTGGCACCGTTCACCCCCACTCTCTGGGCCATCAGCCAGATATCAGAAATAATAAAGAAATTGGGCAGCACAAATTAACACGAAGACAATTATGACCAGTCTGACCATATACCACTGTCTCAGAGAAACCTGATGGACATGAAGCAAGGCATGTGGAAGGGATTAATGAAAAAACTGATAAAGCTCAACAGATGCATGGATTATGCCAACAGACACTTAAAAGTTGTCAGAAAATTCAGACCAAAACCACAAAGATCTCTGCAACTACAAATGTCACTTGGTCTAATAAAGATGGGTTCCTTGTCTTCAGAATCATCTTAGATCTGTTACTATTTCAACCTGGCAGTCCTAGGTGTTACAGTGGTCCTTTGAGCCAACAGGCTTGGATATGTAATTAATTAGCCATTACGTTGCTGAGCATCCATAAAAAAATCTATCAATGTTTCAGATGTCCCAAGACTCCTAGAGTTAATAAAAGACTCCTGGTAGAAGTGAAGTATTTAAAATAGAACTCACTTTCTACAAGGTTTGGAAACAAATATCATACCTTTACTGATTCATCATAAACACTAGATTGCTCCCTCCACCAAGAGTTAAAAAATAAATTATTGAACAAATTCTAGTTTTTGTGATTGTTCAATGACACAAACTACAAACACACTCACATTTTAGAGGTAACTAAGCCTCTGTCACCTCACAGAGAAAATGACTGCAGTAACAGGGTCTGTGGGAGCCACGCTGCCCGACAAAGGCAACACAGCATGTATGTACAGAGCTGCTTTGCTACAATCCCCAAAGTCCTCAATCAGTGTAACTGAACAACAAAACCCTGCTTATGAAACCATGAGAGCCAACACAGGCACTGCTTGTTCTGCTGGCCACACCGACAGGAATTACTCTAGGGGGCTGAAGGGGGTGGGGGGAACTGTCTTACACCCATGCTCATGGATTTCATTTTGTAACACAGCACATGCCAGTGCTGCTTTTTGGGTGTTGCCTAATCATCATTCACATAGAATTTGGCTGAGAGAAGCAATTTCTAGGTGTAGAATGCAAGGGAAAAAAAAAAATCAGGTAAACATTGCCTCTTGATCCAGTTAAGAGATGAAACCCATTGTCCTGGAAATTGCTCCTCAGCAATGGTCTGTTATGTGGCACATTTCGAATAACTACAAAGAATGATCTTTCTAATGATTTCTACAATACACATCTGAGACCAAATCCTGACTTTCCTCTTTCACTGTGGAAGTATCCTGGCAACAGAGGCAGTGCTGATGTTTTATGCAAGGATCTCTGGGCTTCATCCTTTTCTGCTTAGCTGTGTAGGAAAGGCACTAAGTGCCAGAGCAATGCCAACATGCAATGCTGCGTGGAAGGGCTGAGCAATGTTGTGTGGGCTCATACAGCATGTGATGGCAGTTGCCAGGGAGCAATACTGCAGCCCTTTGGAGAGCAGAGGGGAAGAGCCTCACCACTCCCTGGCACCCCTTTGGTCGATGGGGATGGATTCTGCACAGGGATGTGCCCTTATATGTAAGGCACAGCTACAAAAAAGCATGTGGTAAATACATCCTTGATGGGAAGTTATTAAATTCAATATACTTTGTAATGCAGTAGGAGGAAAAAAGGTATATATATATAGACTCTGCAGTATGAAAATCCTTCTACAGTGCTTGGAAGATTAGGTAATGGATATTTTGTTTCACAGTAACCTATACATTTAGAGAACTTGCAGTATTTCATTTTATCTTCCCATCCGTATGGATTGTCGCTACAGATTTCTACTTCAATAATCTGGTTCTGAATTTCTGAGTTTACCAGAGAAGAATCACAGTTATTTCTCAGAGAGATATAAAAGTCTGAATTCTTCAATTTCCTACTTGAACAATAACAAAATAATTTCTTACATGCTATTTCAGCACAAAAAAGTTTAAGCTCTGTAAAACATTGTCTTGCTGCAATGTTTAGAGGGAAGGTGATCACCTCCTTCAGAAAAGGCTGGAGTGTTCTGCCTCAGGGTACACTCAGTATCCTGAACCCCTCTTTTTCTGAAGCACTGCCATCCAAGGAGTAAAACAACAGCTGTCTGTTAGGACTAGACATCTGAAACCTTTACAGCTTTAAACATTGCTGAAAATGTTCCTCCTGATCGTATTGCCAGAAATGTTAATATGTTGACTTTACTCTTCCACAATATTGCTAAGACTTCATACCAATTTACAGGAGTTCACTTCATAATGTGGTGAACAATCTTATGAGTATCACTATTTGAGAACAAGGAGACTTGAAACACAGAGACTTTATTCATTTGACCAAATTATAGTTCTCTAAACTCCCTCTGTGGTCAATGGAGAGAAACAGGCATTTGTGATTGATTTCCAAAGCCACAGATCTAAAAGAGGTTACACAAGCCATGTTCAGAATGTAGGTATTTTTTCTCTTTGGTCTATAAAGAGGGTTTGAAGGCATTAGTTCAGAGACTGAAATCTTTACAGTAGCTGAGGTGAGATGACTTCCCAAAAACAGAGGTTAAGTAATTTGTTTTAGGCTTCAGAGAA